TGTCCAGATCATGGATATTGTAAATAATGCTGCTGTGAACACAGAGGTGCATATGTTCTTTCTGATTGGTGTTTGAGGATCCTTAGGATATAACCCAAGAGTGGGATCACTGGGTCAAAAGACAGTTCCATTTTTAACTCCATTCCATTTTCCACAGTGGCTACACCAGTCTGCATTCCCACCAGCAGTGTACTAGGATCCCTTTTCTCCACATCCTCACTAGCACTTGTCATTTGTTGATTTGTTGATGATAGCCATTCTGACAGGTGTGAGATGGTACCTCATTGTTGTTTTGATTTGCATCTCTCAGATGATTAGTGACTTTGAGCATCCTATATAATAAAGAGCTAATATGCTAATTAGACCAAACAACAGAATGGCTGTCCAGACAACCTTCCGGATGGAGCCAGGACTGCAAGGGCTGAGGCAGCAACTGGGGCTGCGAGGGACAAGGCAGCTGGGGCTGCGAGAGCCTACCCTTGCACGAATTTCGTGCATCGGGCCTCTAGTTTTTTCACATGTCTCTTGGCCATCTGTATGTCCTCTTTGGAGAAGTGCCTATTTAGGTCCTTTGCCCATTTTTAAATTGGACTGTTTGTCTTTCTCTTGGCACCCTGATCCCGAACTTCTAGCCTCCAGAACTGAAACATAATACATTTCTGTTGTTTAAGCCTCCCTGTGTGTGGCATTTTGTTACAATAACCAGAGCTGACTAAGACATATACACATGTGGGATTCAATCCTAGACAAACCACAACAGTCTTGTTTCTTCATTTCCCATTTGGAATATTCCCTACTCCATGCTCACATACACACACTCCCATTTAAATCATACACATTTTTCATTTCACCCCCTTCTAAAACTCGTCAGACCCTGTCGCAGTCAGAATGAATCTGCCGTATCCTGGCCTACCTAAAGCCCAAGGTATTAGAGAATCGTTGTCTCTTTTAGACCTACAGGCTATTCCTGAATGCATCTCACTGTAACCCTCACCAGGCTTTGAGCTCCCAAAAGGCAAGAATCTGAGTCCCATTCATCTTTTGTGCCTTGTCCTGCCTAACGTCACATCTGACTCCAAGCAACGTCTCAATAAATATCTGCTGAACTAAATGGAGTTGACTACTGAGAACTTTTCAGTCCCTCAATGAGCCTCTTTCCAGCCAGAAAAGGGACTGGCGGGTCCCAGCAGGGTTAGTATGCAGCCTTTTCTCCTCTAAGATTTAAGAAACTGCCTGCAGACTCCACCAGCCTTCTGAGCATCAAGAAATCAATGACAACAAATGGTATTGTCAAAAGGCCAGGCTACAGGGGAGCGCACACACAGGAAGCATCGGCGGAATGCAAACCGAAGCAGTGCCCACAGAGCTTATCAAAGCCGCCTCCCGCTGGCCCCCCACCCAGAGTCAGGTCAGGCTTGGGCAGAGGGCAGCTTGCTGATTTCTGTCCTCCCTCCTAGAGTGATGTCTGTGTTTGTAAATAAGGGGAAGAAGGGTGAATTATCTCAGTGCTGGGCTGCAAGGCATAGAGAAGAACAAATAGCCACTTGTACTCCTATAAGATAAGGGAGGAAGGGGAACGGCAGAGCAGGAATAAAAGACTGGCAGGCCAGCCAGGGGTGCACAAATGAGCTGTGCTCCCACCATGCAAAGCAGGAAGATGGAGAAATTCGCTGCGTGTGGAATGCATCATTCATTTTAATCCCCAGAGGCAGGGAGGACTATCCAGTATTAAAATGTGAGGTGGGCATAACATCCTTAGCCTTGCAATATAGACTTTAAAAGGCTGGCTAAGAATTGGAAGCCTGAACTGAATTATAACGTCAGAAACACTTTAATTGGTGCTTATGGTGAGGTGCTATGATACATGATCACACTCTTCCCCTCAGGACTCAGCTGCTTTTCCTTCGTACCTCTCCTTCTCCCTCCAGCCCCCACCACCAACCCCTCTTCTCTCCTCTCCTCTGAGGGCCACTATTCCTTCCAGAAAGACTGGCTCGGGTAATGTAGCAAAACAGATGAAAGTCTTGAGAAAGATGCTGGGAACCCTGGGAAGAAAGATTGAATGGAAAAGGAGAGAAAGAGAAACAAGCAGCTAATTGAAGGCCTGCAAAGCTACTTTGACAATCTCATCCTGCATTATCTTTCGCCTGGCAGCTGCAGCTGTTCTCCCACTTTCATCCCTGACACACACAGGCCATATCTGCAATTGCAAGAGCCTGGGGAGCATGCATTAGTATGCTGCATACAGCCTGGGAAAAGTGTACTGCTGGGCTTCTTTCTGCCTTAGAAGTCCCTCGCAGACATGCCCAACAACAAAGGGAAAGCAGATACAGAAAAGCTGAGTGTGTGTTGGATGCCAGAACGCATTGTCTGCAACACCAGGTCAGTTGGTTGTGTCAGAATCAGCGGAGAGGTGGGGCGCAGAGGAGACAAAATGCAGTGAGCGGCTGAGGCTGGTTTTTCAAAATCCTTCTTAGAGAATTAACCACCTACTAAGACCTCTGTACTGATTTTAGGGGTAAGGAAAATGATAATAGTGGGAAAGGGCAACTCAGTCCAAAGCTGAGCATATAAAGACAGAAAAAGGAAAAGTATTGCATGCACTGTTCCACTTTACTTTCATATTATCCATCAGTTGGTATTTTGTCATCTCGTCCTTGCAAACTACCCGAGGCTGCGTAGTTTAAATATGTGGGAAGAGAGATGTCTAAGTTATAGCTGGAAAGCCAAGGAGCAGAAAATGTCCTATTGAAGGGATGCCAAAGAGGGAAAGCAGGTCAGTGAGGGAGAGAGCGACCAGGTATGAAGAATGAGGCTGAATGAGATTTTTCTGCAGGTGGACGATGGAGAAGACATCAGGATCCTACTCAGCCCTGCAGAAATTCTGGGTCACAGCCTCCTGAGACACATTAGGCCTTACCTAGCCTTTCTGTGTGTGTGTTTGGGGTGGGAGGACTTCTGTTCTCTTTGCCAGATTACGTTATGTTCATCACCTTCATTTGCATGGAGGAATAAACTGAGGCCTGAGGAGTCAGTGGAAGAGCCACCACCAAACCCAAGCTCCCCTGATGTGCAGTGTGGTGACCTCCCACCTTTTCAGTTCACCTCTTCCTGGTGTCTAATGAAGTGCCTTTGTTTGAAGAATGGAGGTATGATCACTGGCAGCTGAAGTGGAGTTCTCATGCGGAGGAAAGTCTGGAGATGTCAGGTCTCTTACAGATAATAAAGATTGCTCCCAGAGTAATTAAAGGCTTAAGAATAAAAGTTGGTTCAATGTGAAGAAAATACAGAAAATATAACTCAGTTTAGGCAAAAAGGTTGAGGTAATAAATGCCTTTGCTCTCCTACATTTAACATATTCTTTTGGCAATATAAGCTCACTTAACGAAGACCTAGAGGCAATCGCATGTAACCTTAAATATTAATGAAGGTCATATGTAGCACCAAAGGCCAAAAACAAAAACAAAATATGGAAGAGAAGCAATTAACATCAACAATTCCAGATGGTCAAACTAAAGGGCTCTTTTTTACAAGTCAAACATAGACTATGTAAATTGATCAGTAAAACACATCACTAAAGATTGAGACTAGAGACTATATCCAGTGTAAAACTTCAAATAATTCAGAAGCAAGTTTTTACCTGGAACCACAGAGAACTATAATGACATACCCTGGCTTTCTCAGGCCTTAGCAACCTATGAATATAAAGGTGTAAAATTTCTTTAATTTTTAAACCCTCTAATCCCACTGTTCTATACTATACGTGCACAAAACAGTGTTCACAGGGCTCTGGATCTTAGTTATTTCCGCCTTGGGCTATATCATAAGAGGACATATGGTTTTTCCTCCATCTAGCTCCTCTATTGTGAATGGCTCCCCCTCAAAAAGCCACTTGAGAGTGTGCTTGGCTGTTGACACGGTACCTGATGTCAAAGAGAAAATATTCAAGTCCACGCTAAGGGTTCCCTGGGTTCTACCCTGTCCCATTGAGTCACTCTGCACTCAAAGCGCCACACTGGATTGTGCAGGGGCAGGGAGATTTCCTCCCCAACCTCAACTGGAGTGGCTTTGTCAACTGGGCCACAAAGTACAGTACATCTCATACATCTGAGTTTCTTTCCCTTGTGGGAAGGACTTCTTTATCCTCTGCCTGTAAACCTTCTCTCTTTTAGTCTCAGAGGTCAGTCATAGGCCAAGAAAGGAGTACCTGAAACAGCATGATGCTGTAGTCCCCATCCTCATCTATCCTGCAGGTGCCCACAGCAACCTTCCTTGAATAAGCCATGTCCTCCTGGCACATGCTCTCAGGTAACAGAGTGGGCTGTGCATCTCCAACCTGTCCATCAGACATGCTCCTTATGTCCTGAATACCAGCAATGCTCACAGTTCATTCATTCAGTCAGTCAGTCCATCAGCCAGCAAATACTTACTGGAAGTCTACTCTATACCCATGATCGGCAAACCACGGCTCGCGAGCCACATGTGGCTCTTTGGACCCTTGAGTGTGGCTCTTCCACAAAATACCACGTGCACGCATGGACGTACTATTGAAACTTCGTGGCCCATGTGCAGAAGTCTGTATTTTGTGGAAGAGCCGGTATTTTGTGAACAATAGTGAACAAAAGCAGACCTGGTCTCTACACCCATGAGCAAATTATGCATAAGGGATTAAGGGAGCCCCAGACGAAAGGGTCAGGCAAGACTTCCTAGTGGGAGGTCAGTGAAGGAAAGGAGAAAAGGATGGGATTTCCAGGAACAGCAAATAGCCTGGGAAAAGGCACAAAGGCAGAAACAGCAGGACCTGCTTAGAGATCCACGGGAAGTTGAGTTTGGCTTATGAGAAGGGTTTGAGCAGATAGAGGACAGGAATATGACAGGAGATGAAGTGGGACAGGCAGAAACTCTGAAGACTTTAAGAGGAGCCTTGTGGGCAAAGCTAAGGCATTGGAACCTGGTCCAAAAAGGAGAGGGGGATAATGGAGCATTAAAAAGAGAGAGAGTGAATGATTTGCAATTTTATTTTATTTTACTTTCACCCTCCCACTATCTCCAAGAGTGAAATGTACTGAGATTTCAAAAGAAAACAACAAAAAAACCTATAGTGATGCCTCTACTTTGTCATTTTCACAGGTTTATTTCCTCAAAAAGTTTATTCTCTGTCATTACACTGCTTTGTGTTTTGGTGGGCAATAAGCCATTCCAGAACTAAGCTAAAATTAATATTTTTAGAGATTTTGTGGCAATACATGTGATACAGATAGAAGGCTGATAGAGAGCAGGTTTTTTTGAAATACCATTATTATTTATTGAACAACAAAAATAAAATAGATAATATAAAAAGATAGCTTTACTCTTAAAACAAACTGATCATCTTAGAATATAGATCATTTTTATTAATATTTTAATGTGTCTGATACATGCAAAAGATTTTATTATCATATATTCATGTTATAAAGCATATGTTCAACTCTCATGAACATATTATCCAATGAATACATTATGAATAAGTTTCATCTACCTATGTATTTCAGCTCTATCCCATCTCATCCCCTCCCCACGAAACCAGAGTAAAGCACTATACAGAATTTTATCTTTACTGCGCTTTTTAAAAATACCCATAATAACTGTATATGTACATCTACACATATTAATTTTTGTGTTTGAACATTATTTTAATTGTGTCATACTATTTATGGTGTTTTAAATATATTTTTATTGATTTTAGAGAGGAAGGGAGAAGGATAGAGAAATAGAGACATCAATGATGAGAATCATTAATCAGCTGCCTCCTGCACGCCTCCTACTTGGGGTCAAGCCCACAACCCAGGCATGTGCCCTTGGCCGGAATCGAACCTGGGACCCTTCAGTCTGCAGGCTGATGCTCTATCCACTGAGTCAAACCAGTTAGGGCTGTTTACGGTCTTTTAGGACATTTTTTTACTCCACATTAGATTCCTAAGATTCATTTGTTACTGAGTAGAGCTATGGATCATTCATATTCAGAGCTATATAATATTCTGTTCTAGAAATGTAAATCAACTTATACATCCATTTTCTTGATAATGGATTATAAAGAATTCTAATTGTTGGCTCTTTTCTATGAGCCTACTGCCTGGGTATATATACCAGAATTTCTCTGGGGTAGATATTAGGTATGAATTACTTACTTATACAGCATTTCCATGTTCATCTTTCCAAGATAATCCCAATTATTTCCCAAAGTGATTTTCTAATTTACCTTTCCAAGACCATTGTATAAGAATTCCTATTGATCCTTAATTTCTTTAATATTTTGTGATCTAAAGCAATGACAATGGAAATGAAAAGGAAGATAAACAAGATTTAGGCTGTATTTAGGAGAGAAGTATACAAAGCTGTGCTGGGTAAGGAGACATCAGTATGACTCTTAATATTAACTTATTAATATTTACCAATATGACAAGTATATTTCAATTTGATCATGATTTTTATTTCTATAACTACTGAAACATTTAAATACTTTTTTATGTTTATTGGCAATACACTTACATATCTTTGTCCATTTTTCTATTTTCTTTGTATGTGTGCTTCCTATTGAATGGTAGTTTTGTTACATACATATATATATATTCTGAGTATTAAACTTTTGTTGGTTATATGTATAACAAATATATTCTAGTGTTTTATTGTCTTTTCACTTTATGATGTTTTTTGGTAAACAGTAGTTATTAATTTTAACATAGTTGAATTAATATTTCTTTTATGGTTAGAATCTTTTATATTTTAACAAAACCTTCCCTACCCCCCAAAATAAAAAGTTCTGTATTTTCTTCCTAAACTTTCTCTTTTCTCAGAAGTCTGGCCCTAGCTGGTTTGGCTCAGTGAATAGAGTGTCAGCCTGCAGACTGAAGGGTCCCAGGTTTGATTCCGGCCAAGGGCACATGCCTGGGTTGCGGGTTTGATCCCTAGTAGGGGGAGTGCAGGAGGCAGCCAATTAATGATTCTCTCTCATCATTGATGTTTCTCTCTCTCTCTCCTTTCCTCTCTAAAATCAATGAAAATATTTTTAAGAAGTCCTTATCTGTGTAAGTTGACTCTTGAGTACAGCCTGAGGCAGAAATCCAATTTCTGTTTTCAATTGATATCCAGTTATCCCATCACTTTTTATTGAATAGTTCTTCTTTTCTCTACTGATCTTCCATGTTCCCTGTGCTAGATGCTTTCTGTGGCCCTTGGCACCCACTAATTTCCCTTCTTGCTTTTCCCCTGTATTACAAGGACTAACAACCTAAAAATTGAATTTTCCAAACTTCTTTGCCAGGAAGGTTAAGGCTTAGATGCTGTTAGAGACATGCACCTACACAAATTAAGGAAAGAAAGGTAGAGACCATTTATTCCCATCAACAATAGCAGGGGAGCTACAGACTTTGGAAGGTAGGTTTTTCAGCAGCCAGATGGACTCAGAATTCCTATGCCACTCACCAGTCTCAGGGCTGTGATTGAAGAAGGCTGTGACCTCAGGAGGAGTGTCCTAAACTTTGCTGACTTCTGGATGGTGCTAGCAGTGCATTCATTATAAAGTCAAAGGCATGCCTGGGTCCCAAACCTATGCCCTTCCAGCCCTTCCGTAGTTTTTATATCTCTCTTTTCCCATTTTAAATCCCTCCTATTTAAATACCGAGTTTTTGTTTTCCCTATTTCAACTGAAGAGACAGACCTCTGTCAAAGGTCACAGTTCCTTTTATGAATGGGTCTATTTCTGGGCTTAGCATTACCTGTCACTGGTTGCTTTGTCTGTCCATAAGGCAATCACATACTGCTTTAATAATAGCATCAGAAAAACCTTGATATCATAAAGCAAGTCTTTTCACCTTAATCTTCTTCACAGATGTCTTGATTGTTCTTGCTTTTTGATATTATAAACAGGGTAGGGCAAAAGTAGATGTACAGTTTTTCATATGGGAAGTAATATAATAATAAATAATACAAGAATAAACTCTGTTTTGCTTCCTCACAACTGTACACCTACTTTTGCCATTCTCTTATATACTCTAGAGAAGGCGTGGGGTATGTCTGGCCCTTTTGGTCCAAGAAATCATTTGGTCTGGCCCTGCGAGGGCATTAGGGGTGAGCTAATTAAATGTTTGACCAAATAAAGCAGGCTAATTTTTAAGTTGATAATTTTGTATGGCCCACAAATGATTTGATGAATATCCAAATGGCCCTTGGCAGAAAGGAGGTTCCACACCCCTGCTTTAAAGTCATAATTTTTTTGGACTTGCAACAAATCTATAAAGTTTTGGCAAAATTAATATAGATCCACATTTTAGAAGCATTGTTCTAGTAGTGGTAAGTCCATTATTAAGTTTGTTATTATTATTAGGGATCAGACTGAAGGGGGAAAAAGACCAGTTAGAGAGCTACATAAGCAATTGGGTGAAATAAAGCAATGACAAAATGAAGGGATATGTGCTATGTTTAGGGAATAAAACATAGAAGGATGTACTGATTGAGAAGGGAAATTAATGAATGACTCAGGTTTCCTTCTGGGCCTCTGGGTGCTATTCTTTAAGATAAATATAGAAACAGCCTGCTTAGGAACAAGGACAATGAGTCTAGTTTGGGAGATGTCAGTTCTGGTGACTAAGGAATACTTAAGTGAATGTGAGTGTGAAATCCTGCAGAGAGGAATGAGCTGT